TCTCTAGATTTATAGCATCAATACACATAGACATGCATCAAAAACACTAAATCTAGAGATAAGCACATGAATATCCTACTTTAGCATACATAGACATATGGGTAGCATAGAATAGTCAATTGGAAGCATTAAACCATACAAACCATGAAATAATCAAGATTTATATATACATGAATATCAAGATGTATCATACAACACTAATCCCTCAATAATACACAAGATTAGAGTATAGAAAGCATGCTTGGGGCTAACTCTAACCCCAAGAAGATGTCTAGCCACTCATGGTAGTGATGATCCAACCCTCAAGGGCTAACTCCATGGCTGCTCCTTGTTGGTGAAGATCTCCTCCAATGGTTGCTCTAGCTTCCTCCCTTCTTCCTCTCCAAGAATAGCCTCCAAGATGATTTTCAATGTGTGACAAGAGACTCTAGACTCCTCTCCAAAAAGTGTATCATATTCCTTATATAGGTAGGTCAAATACACCCTATGATGAGCTGTGGTCGTGCAAGGCATATTCTCCAATGATTGGGTGAAGGATGGAATAAATGAGCTGGACTTTAACTTTTTCTCGCTGGAGGAAGTTCGATCGATCGAACCTTAACTTGGATCGATCGAAGATGGGTTCGATCGATCGAACTGCATCTTGGATCGATTGAAGTGGTCTGACTCCTCCGGATAAGGACAAGGCTGAGATATTTCGAAGATATTTATGGGGAAAAGGACAAAAGTGGTTGGTAGGCGTACGGCTGTGGATAAGATCAATCATTTGAATAAGACAAAATAGGGTTCGATCGATCGAAGGTGATGTTGGATCGATCGAACTTGGAATTTCAGCAAAGGCCAAGGTTGGATCTATTGAGAAGTACTGTGATCGATCATAGATGTTCGATCGATCGAACTCTAAGTTGGATCGATCCAACTTTTTCGATCGATCCAACTTATTTTTCGATCGATCCAACTTTTCTGATCGATCCAACTAAAAGTTTGATCGATCCAACTTTTTCTGCGATCCATCCAACTTTTCAGCTTTTCAGTATCAGCTTCTTTTTGCTCCAAATCAGCATCTTTTTGCTCCGGATCATCACTAAGACTTAATTTGACTCCAAAAAGGCCTTAAGAACTCATTTTTAGCCCATTTTAATATTATTGACCTGAAATAGACAAAAACACAAATAAGTACTAAAACGGGTAAATAAGATAGATAAAGGTCCTAGAATACTCAAACTTAAGGGGTTTAAATGTGTACTTTTCAGCGCTCATCACAAATGCTCAACATGAAATCCACACAGTCTTTATAAGAGTTAGAATATCCCCTTGATGCAATTTAATAAGTTTGATTACTGGAACCTGGCTTGGGCATTTTAGTAAAATGTTTACTAAATTATTTTTTAATTATTTATTTAGAAAAATCTTTATTTTGAAAAATCTTTTTATAAAAGAATTTAATTTAGTGATCATAAGGATTAAATTGGTTAATCAAGGAATATAAAATATAAGTTAGCCTTAGGTGGGACGGTATATATTTTCCTGGGGCTACTTATGGATATTCGGTAGTAGAGGGGTTTATATGTAATTGTTTAGTAGATAGGGACTTGCTGCAATTTCTAAATCCTAGAGTGCAATTACAATACTATTGTGGTGGTTATTATAATTAATTAGATAAAGATAGAGTTATGAGATAACTTTATCTCTATCCAATTGGAGTTAGGATAAAGAAGCCCTCTTGGATCCTCATCTCTAGCTCCAAACTTTTTACCGACTCTCTCAAGTCATATATTCGGTAACGTTGTGATACAAAATCATTCTGTTACACGATACAATATACAGAGAGTGAAAGAAGGCTAGGGTTCCACAAACCCATATTGGGGTCATAGAGGTGAAGACTCATTGGTATTCAAGGTGAAAGAAGAAAGTATTCATCGGAGTTCAAAGCCAAATAATTGTGTTCTCGTATTCGACGATTATTCAATCGTCTAAAGGTATGAGACCTCTTTACAGGACTTCTTAATTTGATGAAAAAAATCACGTTATTACGTTTCTGAATTTTTTAAATGCTTCCGTTGTGCCTTCAATTGGTATCAGAGCCACCTACATACTTTTCATCAAATCATAGTGACGATTTAAATACCTAATTATTATCTATGCATGTATAGATTTATATTCATGAATTCTATTAGTTTGTTTCATGAATATGTAATTTATTTATTATTATTATTTTATTTGTTTGATCTGTTAATCTATGAGATAGAAATCGGATCACAGTGAATAAAAATAAAATAATAAAATACCTGTTTGCAACGGCTTGTAAAGATAGCCGCTTGTGATCTGTTTTCACCCATGTGGGCTCACACACTGGATGAACACAATAACTCGTGATAGAGAAGGAAATTATTTAATTGCTTTTAGAATCACGCCCAGGGTTGTTTATTATAAAGGGATTTCGATATATATATACATATATATCCTTTTACTAGTGACACCCATGTGATGGGTATGGTTGACTTTAATAAATATAACATTATATTTAAAGTATTCATAACAGACCATATATATATATATATATATATTCTTTTGATTATCTAGTTAATAGTCTAATCCAATTGTGCACTTTGATCAATTAGTTGACTAATAGTACAATGATTCATGCGAATTTGTGCATGTACAATATGTTTTTTTTGTATGCAATCTATTTTAATATTGAATATATATGTGCCATATACATGGATTATTTAAGGTTGATTGCTGGTAAATGGTAATTATTTATCCCTCTCACGGTCCGGTATTATTTATTATTTAAAGTTTTAATTTATTATTTAATTACATGTGATGTAATTAGTGGCGGCGTTTTAAAGGACTGATCTAATAAGGATTGGTTTTCCTTAGCCGAATATGATTTATTTATTTTATCTTGTTTAGGATTTTTGTAAGCTCTAAATTGGGTATAAGACAAAGCCTTGTACTATATTTTTAAAATTTAGGGTTGTAGTTCTTGAAGAGTTCAAGAACAGACACATACAAGATAAAATTCAAGACTTCCAATGAAGGACTTAGAAGCACGAGATGATCATGAGATGATATCTAACCGACCATGAGAGGGGATTTGCACTTTTTTGGTGCAATATGTTTTTTACTTGTTATGTTTATATTCATGTGATGGTTATATGCTTGAATGTTATATTTTATTCATGAATAGTTTTTTCTACGTGTTGGTTAATTTTAAACTAAACAAAATTGGAATGATTTATTTGGGTGGTTTTGGAAAAATTAGTACTTTCCAAAAAATTTTTTTAAAAATATAATTCTCTGAAAATTAAAGATTTATTTTTAATTAAATTTTGTGGAAAGTAGAGGATTATTCCATAGTTAAACTCAAGAAATTGAGGTAACTTGACCCAAATGGTTTAGGCTCATTGGGCCTAATATATTTTAAAAATGGATTCCAATATTGTTTTGATTAAAATTAATATTTTAACGTGATGATATTATACAGGAGATGTATAAAACTTATAGAAAACTCTCTAATTTCAAAAAATCAAATGGGAGCGGGATTTAATCTTAATTTCCACAGCCTTCCATTGTTGATCTATTGTAAGGTGTAACAAGTATCTCGCCATCAATCTTGGGTGCTCCTCCGGAGGGTATTTGTTTCACTGGTTACTAGATATAGATTTCACACGATAGAACTAGCGGCAGGCGGATGGGGATGATCACCACTAGGAGACGGATCTCATTCAATTGCACTACTTCTAAACAATGGTGTACACTTGACTAAGTAGGAGTACGCTCCACTTTAGGGGGTATTTTCACTTAGAGACCAAGGTTAAATTGGTTGCCATATTTCATTAGGCATGAGATGCCTAGACAGTGGGATATGGTGGAAATTGTTTCTGTCTAATTAAGGTAGTGACATGATCTCTTGGTAGTGGCATGTTCTTATTGCCCCCTGGGAGAAACGAGTGAATACCTACAGGGATTTTGATTATCGATGTTTTCATTACATCAGTGGTTTAAAGAGACCAATTGAGAGATTATATGAAAACTAAAGTTTAATTTTTGTTTATGAATGTATGCCCTTTTATTTATGCATGAATGTCTATATTTCAGATGTCGAATATTTTCAATCAGCTTGCTTCCATACTTAAGGACAATAAATTAACCAAGTCGAACTATGTTAACTGGAAGAGAAATCTTCACACTGTGCTCACTCAAGAGTGCCATCCTGCACTTAGCCCTAATGACATCTAGGAGCACAAAGAAATTCATTCTAGTGCTGGGGTTGTCAAGGTTAAGGGTAAGAAGCTAGATAAGTCCAAAGAGAATTGTTTCCATTGTGGCAAGGAAGGACACAAGAAAATGAATTGTTTGGTATATCATGCTAAGAAGCACTCTGAAGATATTTTTCATTCACTTGTTGCTGAGACATGTTATGTGGCAGGATCTACAGATACCTAATGTGTAAATTCTGGAGCCACTAACCATGTTTGCAATTCATTGCAAGGGTTCCAGGAAACCAGAAAGCTGAGTGATGGGGAGATTTATCTTCAACTTGCTTCACAAGCAAGGGTAGTAGCAATATCAATAAGCGTGGGTATTTTAAAAATAAATAGTAGGAGTTTATTATTAAAAGATTGCCTTTATGTACCAAAAAGCAGAAGAAACTTGATTTCTATTTCAGCTCTTTCAAAATCTGGTTTTTTAGCACTATTTGATTCAAAAGTTATGATAAAGAAAAATGGAAATTTTATCTGCTCTGGTACATTGGTGAATGGTCTATATCTAATTACTCCTACATCTCACTCATTGTATGATACTGAAATGATTGATGCATCAAGTGTCTTACCACAAAAAGGAAGGTTCCTTCAAATAACTCTACATATCTTTGGCATTTGTGGTTAGGTCATATTAATCTAAATAGAATCTAAAGACTGGTTAAGGATGGGCCTTTGGGCTTTTTGGTGGTTGAACCATTTCCAGTTTGCGAATCTTGCTTAGAGGGTAAAATGACCAAAAGGCCATTTACGGCCAAGGGGCATAGAGCTAAAGAGGTATTAGAGTCGGTGCATACAGATGTATGTGGTCCTATGAATATTAAGGCTAGAGGAGGATATGAGTATTTTATCACTTTCACAAATGACTACTCTAGGTATGGCTATATTTACCTTATGCATCGCAAGTCTGAGGCTTTTGATAAATTCAAAGACTTTCGGGCAGAAAGTGAAAGGCAGACAGGTAAAAGTCTAAAAACTCTTTGATCAGATCGAGGAGGGGAATACCTCTCTAGTGGATTTGAGGATCATTTACGAGAAAATGGGATTATATCCTAAAAATTTGCACCAGGCACACCGCAACAAAACTGTGTCGCTTAAAGAAGGAATAAAATCTTACTTGACATGGTAAGATCGATGATCAGTTATTCAAGTCTACCAGTATTCTTTTGGGGACATGCTCTAGAAACGACGATTTCTATTCTGAACTTAGCTCCATCTAAAGCAGTTCCTAACACTCCTAAGGAATTGTGGACCGGGCGTAAGCCTAATTTATAACATTTACGTATATGGGGGTGTCCTGCACATGTACGAAAAGGAAAGCTTGAGAAGATGGGACCAAGATCAGATGTTTATCTTTTTGTGGGCTACCTAAAGGGTACAAAGGGTTATTCATTTTATGATCCTAAGGAGCAAAAAGTGTTCATTAGCACGAATGCTATTTTTCTCGAGGACGATTATATAATGAATCACCATCCTCGAAGCAAAGTTGTTTTAAAGGAGTTGATAGATACACCAATCAATCAAGGAGTAGACATAACGTTTGTGCCTAATGAGACACCGGATACCATAGATCCAGAACCTCTTACTATACCGGAACCTCGACGTAGTGGGAGGGTTATCAGGCCACCTGATAAGTTAACGCTCTTGGGAGAGTCTTACGAGATGATTCCAGAAGTGCAAGATCCCTCTAGCTATGAACAAGCTATGAATGATTATGACTTGGGACTTTGGTAAGATGCTATGAAGGCTGAGATAGAGTCTATGTACTCCAATCAGGTTTGGGAGCTGGTAGAACCACCTGCAAACATTAAACATATACAGTGCAAGTGGGTCTATAAGAAAAAAAGAGGATCAAATGGGAAGGTTGAAACCTTCAAAGCAAGGCTTAAAACAAAAGGGTTTACTCAAAAAGAGGGTATCGATTATGAGGAGACTTTTTCGCTAGTAGTCATGCTTAAGTCTATTCGTATTCTCTTATCCATTGCAGCTCATCTTGATTACGAGATTTGGCAAATGGATGTCAAGATGGCCTTTTTGAATCGTCATCTTGAGGAAGACATCTATATGATGCAACCAGATTGGTTCATAGCAAAAGGCCAAAAGCATATGGTATGCAAGTTACATAGGTCTATTTATGGACTTAAGCAAATGTCTCATAGTTAGAACATTCGGTTAGATTTAGCAGTCAAATCTTTTGGATTTGATCAGAATCTGGAAGAATCTTATGCATATAAGAAGAGTGAAGAAAACGTGGTGGTGTTTCTACTTTTATATGTTGATGACATACAACTTATTGGTAATGATGTAGGAATGTTATCAACCGTAAAAATTTGGTTGTCCAATTAATTTGATATGAAGAACTTGGGAGAAGCCAGTTACATTCTAGGGATTAAGCTTGTGCGAGATCGTAAAAATAGAATGTTGGGCTTATCTCAGACTGCTTAAATTGATAAGATACTGGTCAAGTTTGGTATGTATAATTCTAAGAGGGGTTTATTACCTTTCAGGCATGGAATTGCTTTTTATAAACAACAGTGTCCTAATACACTAGAGGAGGAAGAGCACATGAAGGCATTTCCTTATACTTTAACAGTAGGAAGCCTCATGTCTGCTATGCTTTGTATTAGACCAGATATCTATTTTGCAGTCGGTATGGTCAACAGATATCAGTCCAACCCTGGACATGAACATTGGATAGTAGTGAAACACATCCTTAAATATTTGAGGAGGACCAGAGATTACATATTGATTTATGGGGGTGATGATTTACTTCCAGTGGGTTACACAGATTCTGACTTCCAGACAGATAGGGATAATGGGAAATCTACCTCAGGATATGTGTTTACACTTGGTAGAGGAGCCATTAGTTGGAAGAGTGTGAAGCAATCTTGCATTGCAGACTCCAGCATGGAGGCCGAGTACGTAGCAGCTTCAGAGGTAGCTAAACAAGCTGTATGGCTCAAGAATTTCCTCTTAGAGCTTGGAATGGTACCACCGGCATGATCTCCTATTATCTTATATTGTGATAATAGTTGGGTAATTGCTCAATCTAAGGAACCGAGGAACCACAAGAAGGGAATGCACATTGAGGGCAAATATCATCTCATTAGAGATATAGTTCAGTGTGGAGACACTATTGTCACTAAGATTGCATCTGCAAATAACCTTGCAGATCATTTCACTAAGACTCTACCTACTAGGGTTTTTGAGTCTCATATTGAAGGGATGGGTGTTAGATGTAATGGTAATTGGTTTTGAGTGCAAGTGAGAGATTGTTGGGATCATATGCCCTACAATCCAATTAGTTATTATTCATACATTGGGCTTTACATATATTTGTATGAGATGCATTATAGTCCTCAAGTTGCATTATAAGTGACTTAAGTGTGTAAATGAGATTTACACATAGGAGATTTGGGCTCACCGGTTTCTTGCACCTTGGCATTGTTCGCAGTCAGTGATAAAAGTTGGGCACTTTTATTTGTAAGACTGTAACACACTTGACCTCTATAAGATATGATGGTTTGTCTCGACCATTAGGTAGTTGACTCTAAGGTAGTGTGTTAGTGTGCTTGGAGTACATTGAACTGGATCACCATAAAATCACACCATACAATGTACTGTCATTATTCTGGTGTGTTTCTTATCTACTAAATTCATAGGCTCTAAATCCTGAGAGATTTAGTGAACTCAAGTTTCAATACTAGCTAGTCACTTTGACTTACCAATGTGTGAGATCTTTTTAAGATCAATACCACGGTATCTTGGGTGACTAATGTTGCAGTTCTGGGAACACAAATGCTCAACATGGAATCCACACTCTTTAAAAGAGTTAGAATATCCCCTTGATGCAATTTAATAAGTTTGATTACTGGAACCTGGATAGGGCATTTTAGTAAAATGTTTACTAAATTATTTATTTAGAAAAATATTTATTTAGAAAAATCATTTTATAAAAGAATTTAATTCAGTGATCATAAGGATTAAATTGGTTAATCAAGGAATATAAAATATAAGTTAACCTTAGGTGGGATATAGTATATATTTTCTTGGGGCTACTTATGGATATTCGGTAGTGGAGGGGCTTATATGTAATTGTTTAGTAGATAGGGCCTTGTCGTAATTTCTAAATCATAGAGTGCAATTACAATACTATTGTGGTACTTATTGTAATTAATTGGATATGATAGAGTTATACCAATTGGAGTTAGGATAAGGAAGCCCTCTTCAATTCTCATCTCTAGCCCCAGACTTTTTACCGACTCTCTCAAGTCATATATTCGGTAATGCTGCGATACAAAATCATTCTGTTACACGATACAATATACAGAGAGTGAGAGAGAAGGTTGAGGTTTCACAAACCCATATTGGGGTCATAGAGGTGAAGACTCATTGGTATTTAAGGCCAAAGAAAAAAGTGTTCATCGGAGTTCAAAGCCTAAGAATTGTGTTTTCGTATTCGACGATTATTCAATCATCTAAAGGTATCATGTAGTTACGCTCTGAATTTTTTAAATGCTTCTGTTGTGCCTTCAAGCCCAACAGACTAGGCTTCGCAAGTGGATTCCAATGATAATTTTCAATAGTCAAACCGTTGTCTCACAGCACGCAACACACTCTTTGCTGCCGATAATGGGTTTCTTATATCACTAAATGGGTCTTCTTCCTCCAAAATCATCTCTGTAATCTTTTTCTCAAACAACGTATGGTCTGTTTCACCTTCAATTGATCCCAACATTCACCTTAAAACTAACACTAGTCATAGGGCTTCGATTTGAAACGTCGGAGTGAGTCTAAAACTTAAAGTACATATTAATTCACTCTATAAAATATATACATTCTAGCAAACCCTTCCACTCTGCTCTAGTCTCTAATTCTCTTAAAAAAAAAGAAAATATATATTTACACCAACTCAGATTCTTATAGATTCATATATATATATATATATATAAATATATAATATAATATATTTATCACACATAACAACTCACGTAAGAAATTAGTTTCACCTATCAGTGTATTCAATTACACCGTATGTGTGTGTATATATATATACACACACCTGTACACATGTCAGTCACATATGATCTCCCTAGTCCATAATTAATGTTACAACAATTCTGCCAAGATGATTCCACAGTCAAACATACACAAATAAACTATCAGGTAACGAGTAATTTAATAGTATAATTATTTAATTCCATACAATTCATTATTCCTAATGCTGCCAACCTAAGCTAACATCACATTAATATACCATAACCCATTAACACATGCTCTAATCATTTATAAAAAATACACATAAGCAAAGTCACAAATATATACAAGTACACAAAGTAAGATTAACTTGCCTGATATCGATAATTCTTCCTTTCTACATGAATTGCCGGCTACTACAGAAATGTATAACGTCAGACCTCACTCACTCTGTATAACTCTATTATCTTTTGTCATCTTTTGGTATATAAAATATCGTATATTAATATATAATAAGATATACTTATAAAGAGGATCAAATATCTCAAAGTTGAGATATTTAAGGAGTCTATGTTTAAAAATTAAATTTTAAATAAACAATTAATCTTTATTTCTAATCAGTTAAAATCTAACATATATATATATATATATATATATATATATAACATTTTAGAAAGAATTTTTTTTAGGGAAACAAGTAATATTTTATAAATAATATATCTAAATATATATATATATATATATATATATATAATTTTAATGTGTCAACTTGGGCTATATGAATGGAAGTATTTGAACTTGTGATTATGATCTAACAGAAAATATTTGAAAGTCAAAGTTAATCATCACGCTAAAACTTTACATGCTTTGATTCTTTTGAATATGTGAAATAGGAGCAAAGATGGAGAAACAACTCAATAGAAAACTTAAAAGTAAAATAATAATTTTTGCGAGAAAATAAAATGCGGAGAAATATTTTGAAAAAATTCATCACATACAACAATCTTACTTTTCCCAAAGAAATGGAAAAAAAATTCAAAATTTTCCAATAAACCAACCCATAGTCTACACTCTCATATTATATCCTGTGGCAAAATACGGAAAGATGGTAAGACATAATGACATAAGAAAGTCAACGAATCCATTAGTCTGTCCTAATCATTAACAATGAAGCTTTTGTTTTATTATTACTAGTATTTTCACCCAAATTTCAAATTAGAGAAGTTTTCAAAGAGTATTGACTGTTAGATGGTTTAACCCCACCTGATGTGGAAGGACAAAAGAAAGTTATTCCATCTCTATACACACTCACATGTATATATATATATATAGAGAGAGAGAGGTGGGGGGAGGGGGGAAATAGTTCAATCCCTCAGTTAGTATGTACATTATAAAAATGCTTACGAAAATGTTAAACATCATAATATTATTAAAACGTAAGTAAATCATTAATTAGACGAGACAGGACATTGTTTGAGATGATTTTAGTCCCCTCTTAACTTTAAGGAGCTAGGTAAAAGAGTTGATGGGAGAAGGAGCCATATTTATGCATAAAGAGAGAGGAGAGGAGACATATATATATATATATATATATATATATATAGGGAGAGAGAGAGAGAGAGAGAGTGGGAGGGGTCTCCCTCATGGTAAGTAGGTAAAAGAGTTGATGGGAGAGGGGAGCCATATTTATGCATAGAGAGAGCGGGGGAGACATATATATATATATATCTATATATATTAGAGAGAGAGAGAAAGGG